AAGTCACAAACGCTTCTATATTTTCGGCCAACATCACACTACCACTCTCTCACACACACAACCACACGCCGCCGCGCACGCCGACACGCAACACGCACACACACTCACGCACGCGCACGCGCACTCGCTGCGCCACAACACCATTCACACTCACGCACGCCCACACATGCTACGTAAAGTAACTAAATACATCTTCGCCAGTACACCCGCCTCACACTATTCTCGTTCTCCCTGATCCCGCTAAATCTTTGAAAGCTACTATCCCGCTTAATATAACATAATGTACATATGCGTGTGTAATGACTAGTTTCATCATCATAAAGAGAGTAATAAATGTCTTACATGTAAAGAATTAAATTCCAAGCCTTTCGCAATGTGATCCAAATCGCTTAAACCGGATGATCCAAGAATGCCAGGTCACGATCGGTTAACTCATCAAAAACAATGTCAAACCACTGACTCTCTATAATCATAATCTGGATAGGGCATGGCCTATGACAGTGACGCCAGAGCGCCATCTCTTCGCAATCCACCTCTGCTAAAGCCTGATCTTGCCGCGGCTGCTGCCCCCACACATTTCAATATGAAATAAAAAGAAAGGGCGCGGGGGGGGGGCGACTTTATTCTATTATTCAAAATTAAGCATTGAACAAAAAACTGTTGATCCAGATCTTAAGAGATCTATATAAATATGGGATATGTACTATATGATACATGTATGGAGTGCTAAAGGAACGCAGAAAATACACGAAAAAATAATTTTTACCGTTGACGTCTCACGAGACACGTGTAGGTAGCCGGAAGCCTATTCAACGCAATTTATAATAATTCTTGTTACCATTCGCTATCGAAACCAAACCAAGATGATGAACATGATGAAAATGGATTGAAACATTGAAAGCATCTATATTACTATATATATATATATTATAGTATTTATTTTATTTAAGGCATATAGGTGTAGCATTTAGCATACATAGGCCTACATATAATACTAATTACTATATATAATTAATATAGCGTGTCACTCGCGGACATAGCCCCTGCGCCGTGCTGGGTATGTTGTTAGATACAATAATGTAACCCAAACCCAAGAGGATAGGGTATCCTCTTGGGTTTGGGTTACATTATTGTATCTAGGTATGTTGTGTCGTGTTAGCGTAGGCCTGACCACTAGATCGCCTATGGTACATGCCTCTAAGCCCGACAAGGCTGTGCGACCGCATTGTCTATCTTCTAACCCTAAGCAAGACGTTTCTTGGAGCTAGCGCTACTTGTAAAAAGTTGTATTGTTGTCATGCCATGCTTTCCTAAAATTAAATGTGCTAAACCAAATTTAGCGTTACACCACATTGTAATTTTGGTGTGTGCCGTGTTGTGATACTCAACTGTACTAACTGGCTCTCCCGTCGTCGACCGTCCACCGGACGGCAGTAGATGGCTGAGGGCTCAACCCAGGCCTACTTGATGAATTCGTTTCCGCTGGCACCACGGAGCATTCCCACATCTCGGGGCGTTAGCAACCATGCTCTACGCCACTCAATCACAGTTCTTAACGAGATTTCAAATGGATTTAAGCTTGCCACGGACATCAGCCGACTTTAGCTAAGGTATTGCGGATTTTAATCAACGACGTTAGTTAGATTTCGATGGATTTCCATCACGACTTCGCCGCCATTTTTGCTTTTGGGTTTCATCGCGACTCATCTCGTTCGGCCGTTCCTTTTAAGCCGCGCCCTTACTGCGGTCACGCTTCTATTGTGTCATGTAGATCCACCTATATTATGAAGGAGCGATCCGCGCCACCTATGTAAGTGTATTTAGTGTGATGTTATCTTCTTTGATTAACGCGTCTGATTTGGATTGGCGAATGCCATAAAGTAATTATCTCGTTGTCGATTCTATGCTCTTCCTTCTTTCATACCACACAACCACATGACGGTTCAATCCAAGCCGTCACATCCAGTGGTTGATCGAATCTTAGACCGTGGTTAACTGACCGAGGATGTATTTGAGGCATTCCAATTAACGGAGATCACACAAGGGGGATATATACTGTATACGCCCCATATTTTTCACATACATGTATTTCACAAATTCGGCGACCTGTCCACGGGACATTTCGCGAGTCTGGTTAATTTTAAATTTCAGCGGTCTCGCGTGCACTTTGACGGTCGGTGATCGGACACTTTCCAACGTACGTGCAGGCAAGTCGCATTGGGCTGCGCCACAGAGATCATGCAGAGGCCCTGCGCAGCCAACGCCGTCTCCGGCGACAGCTCGCCGCGCTTGAGGCGCGGCGATGAGACGCGAAGTTAGGACAAGCGGGAGATCCCTGCGTGGACATGTCAGCGAAATGACCGCGAAGGTCGACGAGCGCTGTCTCCTCGAAATCCTCAAGAGAGTGACGGTGCCGACCAGCGCGACGCGCGTCTAAGAAGAGTTCAAACCCTCGAAGCTGCCCGGAACCACGCCGATTCACGCTGATGAAGCAGTTCTGCCGCAAATGCGTCCGGCGTTTTGTGCGCGAAGAACGGCCGCCCAGCGTGTGGAAGACAGTAGTCGGGAGAGGCGCAGCAGCAGCATCGTCCCTGACGAGTCTTGATGTGAGTGAGCAGGATAAAACTGCCGTCATCGTGCATCGTCGGCAAGCTCCGGCCGCCTTTCCGGTCTCCGCCCGACAACGTTGGCTGCGACACACGGCATGTTCGTCTGCGCGTCTGCATGGCGCCGTACGCTGCAACACCGCTCGTGGCCGATCGCTGCGCGGATGCTGGGTCTGTCTTCCGCTCGCCGTGGTTGTGCTCGAGTCGCTCTCGAGTCCGGCGCATGTGCTCGCGAGACACCCTACGCAGTGCGTCGCGTGTGTTCCTGGCCCGCCTGACGCTTGCGTGCTGCCGAGTGGAAAGCGGCCAGGCTCCGGTGGCGACGCCTACCCGCAGTCGCCGCGTGTTT